TGAAGGACGTTTAAACAACTATATTCAAATGAAAATGGAGGTATGATGATGGAAACATGTATAAATATCTGAGTTAAAATACTTGAGTTAATATGACTGTGGAAGAGATGCACGAAAGTCTTTTGTAACCAACTGATACACTTTCTACAGTATGTAAAGAAGGAAGATTTTATGTGTTGTGTTTGTTTTGAAAATAAAAATAAATTCTATTTTTTTTTTTAAAAAAAAGAGGAAGATATTCCCAGCCTAAATGAATGAAATGGAATTTGGGTGCAGGAGAATCTCCCGTCAGAAGGTTCTGAGGCGAAGCGATGCGCTTCAGGGGACTTTGAATGCCACGCGGGTTGTGTCTCACCTGAAGACGAGTTCTCCGGAGGCTGCTCCTGTTTAACCTCCAAACACCGTTGACTCTGCTCGATGTCTGGCAAGGTTTGGTCACTGGCCTTTGGGGAGCTCGCCCCCATCTCCTCAAACAACTCAGGCACCTGGAAAAGCAGGAGAAACCCCATTCAAGGATGAGGAGACCAGAGTTGACTGGAAACATTCCATAACTGTGACTGATGACATTTTTTTCCTCCTAACTTAAAAATCATTGAGAGCAATTATTTCTCCTACTTGGCAACTTTTAAAACAGGTGGACTTCAACTCCCAGAATTCCTCAACCAACCGGCTGTATGGGGAATTCTGGGAGTTGAAGTCCACGTCTTAATGTTGCCAAACTTAAAAAAAAAACAAAAAAACCCCACTGATCTAGAGAAATAAGTAGTCCTTGACATATGACCACCACCGGGACCAGAAATGTATGGTTAAGAAATAGGGTGGTTAAACGAGACAACGTGTGACTGTGCCCAATTTTATGAGCTTCTTACCACAGTCGTGAAGCGAACCACCACGGCTGTTAAGCAAGACACCAGGTGACTATGCTTTGCAACCTTTCAAATTGCTGACTTTGTTGGAAATCGAGTGGGGAGGTGCCAAAAGGTGATCACATGACCCTGGGATGCTGCATCCTTCATAAACGCCAGCCTGTTGCCCAGTGCCCGAATCACCATCGCATGGGCCATGGGGACGCTGTGACAATTGCATGTTCACAGCTAAGGCAAGCCCCCCCTTTTTTAGTGTTGATGTATCTTCGAATGGCCGTTAAATGAATGGTCGTAAGCAAGGACTGCCTGTACCCAGCAGGAGGTTAGATAAACAGAGGACAATTCTAAATATCTTGGATTCCCTCTTCAGAATTAAGTAACAATTAGTTTTACCTTAATTTTTCTCTTTCTCTGTTATTTTAAAAACTGTTAAAACGAGGGGCAGGAACTTGCTTTCTTCCTCGGCCCGTCCCATAGATCAGAGTTCACCAGGGGTGGGCTTCAAAAATTGAAGCAATGGTTTTCTGCCCCGTTGCTGGGTGGGCGTGGCCTCATTGGCCTCCTGCACCATGGTGGAGGCAGGGGGGGCGTTTTTCACCCTCCCCAGGCTCTGGAGTCTTTCCTTGAGCTTCCGGGAGGGCAAAAATTGCTTCCCCTGGGCTCCGGAGGCCCTCCAGAGGCCAGAAACAGGGCCGTTACTGGAGTTCCGGAACCTCCAATAGGCCTGTTTCCCCCACCCCCTGATCTGCCTGTGTGTGTGCCCTACACTTACCTGGCATGACAAATGGGCAGCGTGGATACTCCTGGGAGGGACTGGGTGGAATGGGAGGAAATTGCATGGCCAGCCAGGGGTGGCATTTGGATGTTTACCAAACTGGGCAGAATCCTAGCTAGAGGATGACCTGAAACGGTGCAATCTTTCCTACATTGGCAGCCCAGAATGTTTTGGGGGGGGGGGGGGAGAGCAGATGATTTTGTGGGAGGGGCCATCGCATGTGCGTGTGAGCACCCAAGATTTTTGTGGTGACACTTGCGCGAGCGGAGCCACAAGTGCCCACGATGCTTGTATACAGGACAGCCACTCACGTGGCCCAGTGGAGATTAGACCACGGCCCAAAATTGGTTGGTGCAGTTCTTTCCTTGTGTGTCATACCATTGACATTATAAGCAGCTATCATTCCACAGAATTACAAACCTTGTTTATATTGACTTCTAAAGATATAGAAGGATCTTGACAAATTTGAACATTGGCCACTATCTAATAAAACGAAATTCAATGGTGAAGAGTAAGGTTCTACATTTAGGCAAGAAAAACGAAATGCACAGGTACAGTATAGGTGGTACCTTGCTCAACAGTAGTAACTGTGAAAGGGATCTTGGAGTCCTAGTGGACAACCATTTAAATATGAGCCAGCAGTGTGTAGCAGCTGCCAAAAAAGCCAACACAGTTCTAAACAGAGGGATAGAATCAAGATCACATGAAGTGTGAATACCACTTTATAATGCCTTGGTAAGTCACACTTGGAATACTGCTCTCAGTTTTGGTCACCACGATGTAAAAAGGATGTGGAGACTCTAGAAAGAGTGCAGAGAAGAGCAACAAAGATGATTAGGGGACTGGAGACTAAAACATATGAAGAACGGTTGAAGGAACTGGGTATATCTAGTTTAATGAAAAGAAGGACTAGAGGAGACATGATAGCAGTGTTCCAATATCTCAGGGGCTGCCACAAAGAAGAGGGAGTCAAACTATTCTCTAAGGCACCTGAGGGTAGAACAAGAAGCAATGAGTAGAAACTAATCAAGGAGAGAAGAAACTTAGAAGCGAGGAGAAATTTCCTGACAGAACAATTAATCAGTGGAACAGAAGTTGCCTCCAGAAGTTTTGAATTCCCCAACAATGGAAGTCTTTAAGAAGATATTGGATAGCCATTTGTCTGAAATGGTATAGGGTTTCTTGCCTAGGCAGGGTGTTGGACTAGAAGACCTCCAAGGTCCCTTCCAACTCTATTGTATTGTATTGACTAAAGATCCAGATAAACATGATTGAACAACTGTAAAAAACTTCAGCATGCAGAAGGTTGATCAATTCAGTTGCAATCTATTTGGGGGCGGGGGGCGGGGGAAGAGCAGATCTGATTCAATACCCCCTTAAGGAGGAATCCCATCCCAAAGTGTTTCAACCTTCAAATGTTTTTACGCTTGGAATGCAGAAGCTTAATCGTGCAAAACAAATCTATTCTTCTGAAAATCTATTACCTGCTGAGTCGGTCTCTCAACTTCTTGTTGGCTCAAGAGGAAGTCTTCAGCCAGAGTCACTGCCTGGGCACAGGTCTCAGGGCAGCCATCTTTGACCCAGCCCTGGATCTCCCTGGGCAGGATGGCCAAGAACTGCTCCAGGATCAGCAGCTCCAGGATCTGCTCCTTGGTGTGCCTCTCCGGCTTCAGCCACCGGTGGCACAAGAACCAGAGACGGCTGCAGGCTTCCCGGGGACCATCAACCTCTCGGTATAAGAACCGCCGGAAATGCTGCCGCTGGACTTCGGTGCTGATCGCATCCACCCGCAAGATGGCCGCCTTCACTTTCCCGTAGTCTCCAATCTCCTTGTCCTCAAATGCTTCCCCTTCGTCTTTGAGGCCTGGGATGAGCTGGGACATCCATTTCCCCGGGTGAGTGTTGATTGCCTTTTCGATGGAGGTCAGAAATAAATCGTCCCAGCGTTGGGAAGCCGGGAATGGAGCATGCTCGGGTTGAGATGGAGATCTTTCCTCCATCCCTGGGGCATCTTTTCCGGGCGATGTTTTCTCTTCGTTTTTTAGCAGTCCGACATGGTTGCTCAACTCCGTTCCCTCAGAAACATCTCCAGGACTTGCCACACTCTGTCCTTCTGCTTTCTCCTCCTGCTGTACCACTGGGAGATAATCCTGTTGATCACGGGGGCTCATCAAGTCTTCCTCTGCCTCCTTGGAGGCCATTTCAACTCCTCCAGGCCAGCGTGACTTTAGTCCAGCTCGGTTTCCTCCCTTCCCTTTCAATTCTTTGGGTCTACTGGCATTGGATCCCAATTGGGTTGAGGTGAGAAAAGTCCAACCTTGGTCGGCTTGCCGCCACTCAAGAAATCTGCCTGCCACAAAGACATAAGGGTCATTACATTGGGTTATTTAAAAGAGCTGAGATAGAAGAACTATTATAGCCTTCTCCAATCTGGGCACGCACTAGACTTCATTTCCCAGAATTCTCCAGGCAGCATGGCTATTGCAGAGAATTCTGGGAGCATAGATATTGGTCTCAATTTGGGCCATGCTGACTGGACACTGACAATGGATCCCAGAGTTCTCCAGTTACGGCTGAAAATTCTGGGAGTACATACCGTTTTTTTCGGAGTATAAGACGCACCTCCCCCCCCCAAAAGATGCTGACAATCTGGGTGTGTCTTATACACAGAATACAGCATTTTTGTCTCCTGAAACCTTAGGAACCTTGCAGAGTGCTCCTGGGGGCTGGGGACGGCAGAAATGAGCAAAAAACAGGCCTTTTTTGCTCAATTCCCAGCCCCAGGAGCACTCTATAAGCCCCCTAAAAGCTATCCATGCCCTTTTTTGACAAAAAGCAGGTTCATTTTTGCAAAAAATGGGCCTTTTTTTGCTCCCCCCCCCCCGAGCACTCTACAAGCCTCCTAAAGGCTATTCATGCCCTTTTTTTGAAAACAAAAACAACAACAACAACCAGGCCCATTTTTGGGAGGTTTGTAGAGTACAAAAACTTTTTTTTTAATTTGCCTCTTCAAAACCTTGGTGCGTCTTATACCCCAAAAAATATGGTAATTCAGAATTCAGTTCCCAGAATTCTCCAGTAGCATGGCCATTAACAAAAATTCTGAGACTCTGGACTTCGATTCTCAGAATTCTTCTGTCAGCGTGGCCGTTGCTAAGAATTTGGGGACTATAGATTTCTCTAGGCGAATGTTATTCAAGTTTGGCAATTTGAAGAGAAGTGAAAAATAGCCCTGAGGAATTCTGGAAGTTGAAGTTCATACATTCCCCCCGTTGCCGAGCTTGAAAAACACTGCTCTAAACTGGAAGCAGAAACAGCACTGGGCACCTACTGGTCCCTCTTTAAAGCAGCTGCATCTTTTCCTGATTTTGCACAGTGGCCCTTCGAACCCAAGACAGTGCATATTTGACTTAAGGAGGCATCATCCCGAAACCTCATTCACCTTGATGTACCTGTTAACAGCTGCTCAATTCAAATGATATTTAATACCATAGAACTGTAGGCTTTGCTGAGCTAAAATATATACAAGCTAGTCAAAATTATGTCTTTGTCCAGGTGTTGCAGCTTAGTCCCACCTACCTGGAGTAGAAGCCCATTGACGTTAATAGTGCAGGCAGGCAGGCAGGAAGTGATATTCTTCAAGTGTGCCTGAGCCCTGTGCCCAGCTATAACTGTGTGCCTCCAGGAGAGAATCGCCTATAGAGGAAAAGATAAAAATAAAAGAGGGGGGAGGAAACTTACAGGCACACCCTTTGCAACAAAACCATGGGAATTTATTGAAAAGGGAGGCGGCACTTTCAGGATGCCACATTCCAAACCAAGCCACGTTTCTGGACAGACTTCTGCTTGTTCCTAGGGCTGACTAAAAAGTATGGCCAAAGCATCTCTTGGCTTGAGGTTCATCATTATTTGGCTGGTGCTTCATCACTGGAAGTTTTTAAGAAAAGACTGGACAGCTGCCTGTGTGTAAAGGTATAGGATCTCCTGCTTGAGCAACGGGGTTAGACCAGAAGACTTCCAAGGACCCTTCCAACTATCTATTCTGATGATAGATAGATAGATAGATAGATAGAGCGAGCTAGATAGATAGATAGATAGATAGATAGATAGATAGATAGATAGATAGATAGATAGATAGATAGATAGATANTATGCATCCTGCGCATGCGTGGAAGTGCAGAACTCGTCAAAACCGGGTAAGGACCGCGGGCGGGCGGGTGGGCGCGCCCTTCGCCGTTCCCGGACGTTACTTACTTCTGGGTTCGGCGACCAACCGGTTCGCAGGGACCGCCGCGAACCGGTTGAAACCCACCCCTGGAGGGGGGTCATGTGTGCATGCATGGGGGGTCATGTGAGGGGAGTGGAGAGACCCCACACACTCTGTTTTTTGTCCCAGGAGGCTTCAGGGAGGCCCTGCTAGGCCCAAAATGGGGCTCAGGTGGATCACGTGCATATACGCGGGGGGAGCACGGGTGGCCATACATGCATGGGCAGTGGGGTGGAGCAGGCGGGGGCTGTTGCACACGCATTGCATTATGGGCATGCGAGGACAAAGAGGTTAGCCATCACTGGCTAGGCAACACAAGTGCAGAACATTTGGCTTTTGACTGATTATAAATTAATAATCTGAGGGTAAAAATGTGTCATTGGCTCCACTAATTTGCAGGCAGTTTTACACACTCCTTCATAAAGCCTAGTTCAACTTTCCAAGCTTTCTAAATGAGGTTATGACCTAGCCTGCCTGCTTTCATTCCTTCATCCCGTTTATATGCTGCCTATCTCACTCTGAAAAGAAACTCGGAGCAGCTTGAGTTATTCCCTTGGATATTTCTTCCTCTTTAACTTTCACAACAGCTTGATGAGGCATACTAGACAGAGAGATAAGAGATCAGCTAAAAGTTCCCTCAATGAGATCTGTGATCCCGAAGACTTGAATTTAGTGTCCCCAGCTTTATTCGTCAGCTTCTTGTCTCGGTCGTTGCTAGGAACAGACAAAAGGGCGCTACACATCACTTCTCTAAGACTTTATCTTTGGTGTAGTTTCTTGCTATCTCTGGTAAATCATTTAACTGCTGAGCATTACGTAATGATAATAAATAATACATCATATTCTTCCATAATTCACTGCTACAAAGCTCTTCTCAAGAGTTTTAAACTTTTGCATGAATATACCTTTCAATTTTCATAATTTCATCTCTGGTTATTTCACAAACCCTGCCTCCACTTCTTTGATTCACTTATCTCTAAGCTCCCTAAGGGAGCAATAGATTTTTGCTGCCAAATATTAAAGGCAGTTTCCCAAGTTAAAAGAAAGAAAGAAAGAAACGTTCTACCTTATTCTACATTGATCAGATGCATTTTGACTAATGTGTCCTTGAGGAAGATAATGCAGGACACAGAATACAGAATAGAATTGAAAGACAGAATAACAGTCTTTCAATTACAGGAAGTCAGATTTGGGTTCAATGTTATATAAACATTCCAAATGGTAAGAGCTTTTTGATAATAAAATTAATTGTCAGAAGAATTTTCCTTTGTGGATGTGTTCAGTTAGAAGTTGGGCAACTATTAAATGGGGATATTTTCATTTGGGTGCCAGCATTGGTCAATGAACCAACAGCCAAGATGACCACTTCAACTTCAATGACACTGAGCAATGCTGGCCATAAGATACCAAGTGAGAAACATGAAAGAACAATATTGGGAACCAACTGCTGCAACATTCCTCAATGTGTTGTCCATTAGATGCTTAGACTTTAATTCCCATGGAAATCCAACACATCTGGAGGGCAACAGGATGGGGAAAACTGAAATACTAAATTTGAAGCAAATGACTGATAACCAACAACAAAATCCATGGATAGAGTCTAATAATGATTTCAGGCAAGAATTCATCTCATAATTTTGCAGGTTTCCACAAGAACTTTACAATTCAAATATTAAGCTGGGTAGGCAGAAGGAGTTAAGTGATAATCAGAGGTGGGTTCCTACCAGTTCGCACCTATTCGGTAGAACCGGTTCGTCAAATCTACCGAACCGGTTAGAAGAGGTTCCACCAGTGGACCCGGAAAGCAGGCCACACCTACAGAAAAGGCTCCAAAAAATTTTGAAACCCACCACTGCCACACACAGAGAGAGAGACAGAGAGAGACAGAGAGAGACACAGACTGACACAGAGAGAGAGAGAAAGAGAAAGAAAGAAAGAAAGAAAGAAAGAAAGAAAGAAAGAAAGAAAGAAAGAAANAGTTTAATAGAAAGAAGGACTAGGGAAGACACGATAGCAGTCTTCAAATATCTCAGGGGCTGCCACAAAGAAGAGGAAGTCAAACTATTATCCAACGTACCTGAGGGTAGAACAAGAAGCAATGGGTGGAAACTAATCAAGGAGAGAAGCAACTTAGAACTGAGGAGAAATTTCCTGACAGTTAGAATAATTAACCAGTGGAACAGCTTCCCTCCAAAAGTTGTAAATGCCACAACACTGGAAGTCTTTAAGAAGATGCTGGATAGCCATCTGTCTGAAATGGTATAGGGTTTCCTGCCTGGGCAGGTGGTTGGACTAGAAGACCTCCAAGGTCCCTTCCAACTCTGCTATTGTATTGTATTGAATATGTACATTTGGTTTTTCTTTCCCTCATGTAACGTCTGCAATTTCCTGAATATGCTAATAGCATAATTGTGCTTTTCACTGGCCCAATTCTCTTCCTTCCTTGGCACTGGCATTTTGCCCATTAGTTTGTGATTTGACAGAGCTAGGCTAATAAAATCCAAAGAGACATTTGATTTTCCAAGTACAAATGAAAAAAGACTATCACTGAATGATAATAAGAGAATTTTGATATATAAGTGGAGCTATGTAAACAATGTCAGAGCAGCTGTGGATAAATCAAAGCACACTGTGCTTTCTGAAAATGACCCCAAACAGAAAGCGTACCACTGCACTTTAGGTCTTGGCGCCCCAAAAGTCTTGCAATGAAGGATCACTACTTGGTTCTCCACCACAGCATACTCTATGCCATCTGGGGTCAGGATCTCTGCAGGCAACCCTGGAGTAAAATAAAAAGGTCAATGGGTGTAAAGCAAGATACTTATCTCCTCAAGAAATCCTACCTAGCCCTAAGTCCTGTCAACACATGTACCACCTCTGTACTCGGCGTATTCAGAGATTTTTTTAACATCATGATGAGGACAGACAGTGGATACACAGGCAAGAATAGCAGGTAAGAATAAGCATGACCCAACAAATGCGCGCATGACAAAAGTGTGCCGACAAAAGCGCGCCGAGAAAACCACAATGTCGAAATTGCGCCCACAACAGCGCGCCAACAACAGCGCGCCAACAACAGCACAATTAAGTTAGGGTTAGGGTTAGGGTTAGGGTTAGGGTTAGGGTTAGGGTTAGGGTTAGGTTTAGGGTTAGGTTCAGGGTTAGGGTTAGGTTCAGGGTTAGGGTTAGGGTTAGGTTCAGGGTTAGGGTTAGGTTCAGGGTTAGGGTTAGGGTTAGG